TATATATATATATATATATATATATATATATATATATATATAGCCTACATGATTAGCTACAGGAAACAAATTAGATAAAAAGTCAAGTCTAAAGACAAAATTTAAACATACAAAATACATAGCCTTTGTCGCTTTGAATCTTAATTTATTTATGTGTTTACGCTGCATTTTTTGCCCTCTCTATCGTACGTGACATCCTCCAGGTCGGTAAGCCCCGCCCATTTAAGATCCCATAATCCTGCATTCGTGCCATTCTACAGTCATGTTGTATTTCTATGAGTTCAACCCAACTGTGCCGATTTCCAGTCCGTGATGCCCCGCAGGGTCAGACCACAGCAAGAGACGCTTTACATGCCAAACAATTCATGATGAAAGAAAAATATTCAAATACTGTAAATGAGATCACCAATGCTTTTATCTCAATGACCGTGTCTTTTCATTAGAGTAGCCTACGCGGCGTTGTAACGCTTATGAGCTCATTTTATAGTCATGCCCGACCGCCATTGAGGAGCCGGAGATCCGCATGTACGCAAATGTCTCGAATGAGCAGGGGTGTCTTCAAGAAGGGCAAATAGCCTACAACACAGCTCTTAATGCACTTTATAGACTTTACCAAATAAAAAGATTACAACGAAATTCTACTCTATTTTCAACAGGTTACACGTGCATCTCTTATGGTCAGCTTGGAAAGTGCATTGCAACACTTTTATAATGGTCTTTTTAGGACGAATAGTTTGTGTTGCAAATGAAAGCATGCATCGGCCTTGCTATAAGCATGCATTAAGCTTGTCATGTTTGAATGCTTGGGAAACTTTAGGAGCAAGTCAACGAGGTCAAGTGCACGAGCGACACTCACCTTATGTCTTCCTCTGATTTTGAACTTGTCCAGTTTGCCGTCTGCGCACGTGATGAGCTTGTCCATTCGGGTCAGCAGATAGCCAATGTTCTGGCAGCCGCTTTCGGTGCCATCGACCCATGCAATCTTGTCCCCTCGAATAGCTTTGCTTTTGTTTAGTTTGTGGCCCACTAACTGTCCATCCTGCATGCTGCCACTCTGATGAATGCGCTTCACCTCCTGCACAACGCGCTCTCCGATTCTGTCCCCTAGAAAATTGTCAACTATACACAAGCCGTAGGAGTTCATGCACGGGACGATGTATTGCAAGACTAGTTTGTGTGTGTTCAGTCGTTTGTGTTCTTTAGATTTTGCCCGGTTACTGCGGGGCTTCCTGAGCTCTTTGGGCAGCTCCATGCGTCCACTAGTTTGATCTGGACACCTGTGCGGATCATCTGTGATGGTTTGGTCTTCAGAGGTCTGGTCAGCAGCAGCCTGGTTTCCCTGATGTTCTGCCATCGAGTCGAATGCAGCAGAAGTGCCCCCCGCGAAAGGGGAGAGTCTGAGTACGTGAACACCATCACATGTGTCAAAGCCTAATTTAGAGCTTACACGCGCCTGGACTGAAAAGATTTGCACTGATGAAGAATAATTACTTCTTAGAGAAAAGCATGCATGTCAGTGTCAAGAACAGTCATAACTCCTTGTCATGATGCATTAGTCGTTTATTTGATGTAAGTGTCAGTATTTACATTTAGTCATTTAGCAGACTTTTATCCAAAGCGACTTACAAATGAGGACGATAGAAGCAATCAGAACCAACAAAAGAGCAATGATGTACAAGTGTTATAACAAGTCTCAGTTAGCTTGTGCTAGTTATTTGTCAGAGCCATTAAAATGCTGTTATAATAATACAAATAATACTTTATTAATCATTTATTATTATTAGGAAAATCTGACCATATGTACAAAGTTGACATGATCAGTGTAACAGATATGTCTTTTTGTTTTTGACCTTGAAATAGTGTAGAATCTCAAATATTTCTTCTTTATTTGAATCATGACTATGTTTTAAATATTAACTTTAAAAAGAGAGAGAGAAATCATAAAACACATTTCCAGATTTCCAGAAAAGATGTTCACTGATCAAAGATAATTACATCTTATATGTCCTGGAGGGGAAAGCATAAATGTGAATGGCAATAACGATAAAACTCATGTGCCACTGGGCCATTAAAATGCTGTTACAATAATTATTTATTTATGTTGCTGTTGTTATTGTTAAATAATAAAGATTCCATTATTAAGAAAATCTTCTTTACAACGTTCACGATTATGGGACATTTTTTAAACCTTGAAATTGTGCAGA